TGCTGAGTAGAAGGCATACCATTTAGTCAGTTTCAACTCTAATTCAATGCCATTTGCATCATTTTTTTGTGATAGCTTCTTACTGGTCCGCGGGAAAAATTGTCTTCGTGCAAAACCGACACGTAATTTTGAAGTCGCAAGGTTTTATCACGGAGATGCCGCAGATATAAGGGTAGCAACAAGGCAATAACTTGAACTCATTTGGCTCGGGTTCCATCGCCCCTCCAAACCCACATCACCAGCACGGCCCCCCCGAGACTATCGACCGGGAACGCGGAAATGCCGCGAGGGTAGCGATGAAACGCCTGGCTGAGGGGCTCGAGCTCTCAACTCATCGACGTCAGACTCATACTCAACGAGATGAAACTCCAGGAAGCTGAAATTGAATCTTTGATGGCATAATAACAATCTCGTAAATTTAGACGAGTGGTGAAACGCTTGCCAAGTTTCAAACACCTTGACACCGGTTGGGTGCGAGTCTGGGAAATACATGTAAAAAGATTGCAATTTTTCTTAGACTCTTATTTTCTAATTCCTAATGTGATATCATTTGCGGCATCATTGCGTGGGGTTCAAAATTCAATTTCTATGCGTGATAATCTCACGGTCACGACTGACTCAGTAGGTGTACTTGAATATTTATCTATATCACTTGGAGAAAAATAATCCCCTTCTTTTGTTCACTTGCTGCTCATCCTTTGCCGCGCCGATATTTCCTATACATCCCCTCCCGGACGTTTACGGCGGCCGCGTTTTTCTCTCTTATAATCTCTTGGCCTGTCGGTCCTCGGGACTCTGCCTCACTTGCCGCCTCTAGGCCGTGGGGCTGAACGACCCTCGCAATTGGCAGGAGGACCGTCATCATTTTCTCGCTCTGGTGCTTCAGTCCAGAAACTCAAACTCTAAGCGACGCCCGACGAAGACGATGCTGCTTTAGCCCCTGTCTGACGACGCTATAGATTGCTCGCCTATCCCTGCAGTAACTCATAACAGGTGGCGCTGCAGTCAGCAACTCGGAACAAGTAGCTCTGCAGCAACTCGAGGGGTTGTTGGGGACAGGCTTTGACGTCGAGTTATGACCCGGAAGTGTTCCAGCAATTAGGAAGACTGTACCGTAGACTCGGCGATCATTGAACGATCAGCAATAGCGTAGCAGTGGAGAACAGGCTTCAAATTTTTGGATTATACGTAGTATTACACATGGAGCTATGAATATTATATAAGTTCTTGTTGAGTTCAAAACCTCATTTAAAAAAAAATTCGGCAAAATCTTCTTTTAGCAAATTCTTCTCCAATGTCTGAATTCAAAAGATTTCTTCTATACAATAAGATTATATAAGAATGTCATTATTTTGTGTTACATTCACCGTGAGCAGGCATGTAGTTTTACCATCTGCAAAGTCCCTGCAGATGCAAAAGACACCCTCCGCTCGCAGCAGGTTTACATGTTTCTTTGCCGTCTGGACCCGGCCTATCAAAGTTCTCACAGCCGCGACATTCATCGAGTTTTTCCGCCTGCCGAAGCCAGCAATAAAGGTCGCTTTGTAAAAATGTGAATTAAAAAATCCGAGTTTTGTCAATTAATTCTCGGCTTCTGAGGAGAGCGTCCAAAACACCAATAACCTATGAAAAAGGTGAACTTTATCACTCGTGGAAATATACAGTTTTGGAATTGGTTCAAATCTGACAAGTTAAGGCGCTCACTCTTTTATCTCCTTTAGCTAGAAATTATGGAAAAAGGCGACCAAATTTCAGGAATTTTTCAACTCGCATTCAATTGTTAAACGGTTTGGAAAAAAGAACATGTAATCATCACATATGAGTTTAGTAGCTGCAGAAATTAAAATGTTGATCAATAAATATATTACAAACAATTTTAAGTTCATCGGGCGCTTTCTTGATTGTGTGCCGCCATTGTAGTGCGTGCTACTTGGTATTTGGAATCTATTTTCCCCATTTGCCGTACTTAAATAGCAGTCGACACGTTCGTATATTCGTCGCTTAAAAATCACTAATAATAATAATAATTGGGTAACGTTGTAAGCATCTGATTTTGCGAAATAATCTCCCGAAGCCCATTGTGAGATTTGTCATCTAATTATTTTAGCAACGATGACACTTTTATTAAAATACACGCGTTATGAACGACCAGACGCAGCGTCATTATAACTGGTCGCCAGCTGTTCACTCGCCCTTGCAAGAAAATGTACATAGCTCGTCGATCGTGCAGCTCTAATAACCGTGATGTTTTCACAGCCGCAGCGCACGGCCCGCGCATGTTACCGCGGTATTCCCGGTGAACTTTCACTGCCGCTGCGCGCACGTTTTGGGATTCCCGCGACAGACAGCGCCACATCAAATAGAAGTTTTCGTTGACAACCGTTGTTGCAAGCTGTTTAATTGACGTATGAACATATATTATATCGTAACTCTTCCAGTTGAGTGTTCGACAGCGCAATGGAATTACAATTACAAGAAATATTGCTTAATGAGTCTATCTTACCATGAAATATCATTCCGATAATTATACTGGATTTGCATTCACAACTTAAGTAGGGGGCTTTTTTAATAAAATGTGTGGGAATTTTTTAGTAACATTTGTTTCAGACATTTTTTAATTTGAATACAAAATCAAACTGAAAAATAAAATGTTGCATTTATTCATCATTGACAGATTGAGCCCACATTCTACTAACTCTTTCCCAATCTGAATTTTTGGAATATAACCTGAGCAGACATACATTATCAAGTGACTGAGGTGAAACTGAACAGACGTACAATATCAAGTGAACGAAGTGAAACTGAGCACACATACATGATTAAGAGCTCGAAATGAAACTAAGCACACATATTTGATTACGAGGCTCAAAGTGAAACTGAACACACATACATGATTAAGTGACCGAAGCGAAACAGAATTTGAAAGCAGTCGCTGGAAAATGATTGAGAACTCGGAAATAATGAGCTATTGGAGGGCTCAATGCAACGCCTTGAATCATATCTGCAGGAATAAGTACTACAGGAATACAGAAATTGTTTTCAATCATTCAAATGACATTTACATTTCACCGCAACACTTAAATTTTTGCTGCAAGGGCGCTCGAAATTATATGGAATATTCATTTTCCTAATCGATTGAAAATTCTGGTTTACTAAAAACGGTCGAGAGTGCTGATTAAATTCTTTTCATAAATTGATAAATTGATTTTGTAACACCCAAACGAAAACAATAGATTATGCTTCATATGACCCCTTGAACACCGAGTGCGGCTCGAGTTCGCCACTAGAGCCGCTGGCAGAAAGGTCTTTTTTATAAGAGTTTAGACAATTATGGTTCTCGATGAACAACAGTCCATGCACTCAAAATTTTAGCGTCCAAGCATTTTAGCTCAATCGTTGATTCATTAAAATAAGCATCTACAAGTAAATCTTTAGCCGAAAATTTTCAAGTAGAATCCTGGTCAGTACTGTCCGTTCCAGGCTAGCCAGCTGAAAATGTTATTCTGGTCGCCGCATTCTGCGTATAAGAACTTAAGGGTTAGAGTTCCATCCAAGGCTCCTAAGTAATGCCGAGAGCAATATTAATGGCGTTAATGATATTTAATGTTGATGATATTTAAAAATGTATATACTAGTATACGAGCATTGTTTATTACAGAATACATTGGGTATTTATGATGACCCTGGAGTTGGTGCTGGGGCATCATCTTTAATGCAGCTTCTCATGTCTTACTGAGATCCTGGACAGAAATGTACAAAAGAATACTGAAACATCAGGGACTTTTATCAAGTATTCTTCTTGATATAAATTGTCGATTGTGAAAAATACCGACCCCCTTTTCGTTTGTGGTTCAATGAACCATCTTTCATGGTCATATTCTTTTGTGGAGAGGATCCCCTCGCTTGACGGATGCCCCCTCTAAGCCTCAATACTCGGGAGCCGTAAGAGCATTGGGCAGCTTCACCCCCCTCGCTTCCTGGATTTACAACTTTTGCGCCATTTGCACGGCCTGTCGCCCTGGTTTTCTCTGGTTATTTCCGGTCCGTGAAAGCAGGATTGGAGGATTGAGGCTCAGGCAGACCGAGAATATCTGCCTTGGCCTTGGAATAAATTTTTATCTAAAAATCTCAAGGGTTTCGTTGCACGCTAATTTCGCACCTGAAAAGCGTATCACCGCATTGCTGTATTATTCTGGGGCATCTTTTACTGTCCACTTGTTGCTGCCACCGTCGAATGTGTAAACTTTTTTAATTACCATTGCCTTTCTGAACATTTGATGAAATGTCAATGGTATTATGAAGTGTAAACTTGCTTCAAAATAATTCAAATGTCATGACAGTACTGGGTTAAAATAAAATATTGAAAATTTGATTCTGTTCCCTTGTTGGTTCAACGATTCATTGTAGGAGTTATACTCGCAATTCAATAGAAATAGTGTCACCAATCAATTTATCCACCATCGACAATGGCTTTATAGCAAATGATGAGAGAGTGTAAACTTAAAAATATGAAAATCTTCATGAATCTGAGTTAATTTTGGTTTTTCACGGATATTTTGCAGCGTAGACGTACAATTTAATAGATGTGTGGGGAGAAAAGTGCGATCCTTCATGGGTAAATTGTGCCAAAAGCGTAATTTACACAAATTTTCGATAACTGTGACTTTTTCGTGGATATGTTATATAAATAAAACATTTGCGGAAATTGGAAATAATTACACTCCTATATCATATATTTCGTAAAATAAAGATTACAAGTTCTTATTAGAGAAAAAAATTGCGACGTTTTTCATGAACTCATCGTGTAAATTAAAAAGATTAAAAATCCAAACGCACAAGTTTTTAACCGGGATAAATTGAGTGACTTGATTTTTTAAGGATTGGATACACTAAAGTTATTTCATAAATACATAAATGGGAAAAAAATACAATAAAAAGTATAAAATATATTCACATATGGATAGCAGTACGATTTTTTCACGTTTATTTTGTGTTTTCAGTACAACGTGACGAAGGAGGAGTACGAGGCAGCATACGCTGAGTACCTGAGGGCTGTGGCGCTGGAGGAGGAGCGGGAGGAACAGCTTGCGGAGGCCAGGTATAGGAGCCTTTATCCTGACGACGACCACGACGAACTGAACGAGGACGAGGACATCGTTGACGGTACCTGGGACGATGACAAGCAAGACGACACTGCACTTGCCAAGTACGAGTTCTACAGCACGAAGATATCGCGGCCATCCCGAGGTGAGAACAATTTTCCGTTTGTAATGTTTGGATTCAGATTTCATTTTCATTTCATTTTTTGGATGTATTGTTTCCGTTTGTATTGTTTGGATTTAGATTTAATTTTATTTTAGTTTTGTTTTATTTTTTGGATGTTTTGAGGAGAAACATGAGAGTTAATAAGGATTCCTCCATGCAGAGAAATTATTGAGAATTTGTCCAAATATCGATGCACATTTAAGCCTTGTGGGTGTCATCCTGACTCAGTTTGGCCCGGCAATAATGACATATCCACTCCAGGCTCGTGCGGTGGGTAAGAAAGTGGGCTTCTATTTGGGCAATACAACACATTTATTTTTATGATTAGCCATGCCATATGTGCATTTTTTTGCCTTTGTATTTACTTTTATTTTATTTTTATTTACTTTTATCTTTATTTTTATATTTATATACTTTGTATGTATTTACTTTGTATTTACTTTTATTTCCTTTTTTACTTTTATTTTTTTTCCTTTGTATTTAGCGCGTCAAGGAGCTAAGCGCATGCGTTAGAATAATCGCTTCGGGATGAAAATAATTCGTATGAAATCATGAAATTTGTTAATGAAATATAGAAGATTAGTTTAATTTATTGAATTGTTCTACATAAGATAATGGGTAACATCTTAACAGAATTGATCACTTGAATATTCAAGTGTTTCCACTTTCTTGCGAAGGAAACATCTTTAATTTCAGAGCTGGCTGAAACACTTAGGCAACTATAAGGTACAGAAGAGTTGGAAATGAAAAAAGTAATGCATGGTATGCATTACTTTTGTAATGCATGCGATGTGATGCACAGTATGAAATTAAATGAATTTTTATAACAACGCCTAAACATTTTAGAGCGAACATGCTTTCAAATCAATCTCTCAATGGCATATCATTCATTAAAGTTAGACAACGAAGTTCTGTCATTTTCGCTCGCGCCGAAGAACTTTCATTTGAATGAAATTTGGTTTCTGACAGCGACCTTCAAAAAATTCATGAATGCTGACTAATGGCAAAAAGATCGAAATCGCTGGCAAAATTAAAATGCTTACGAAACATTTGATTACGAAACATCGTTTTTAGTTTGGAAATAACTTGGTAATGGAAATAACTTGACAATTTTTATTCTTATTTCAACTATTTTTTGATTAAAATGATAACCATACGTGAAAATATGATCAAAAAGCCAGGTATGGGGACAATGTTTGAGATCTAAATCTTCCATTTGTATTACCTGAAAATATGAAAAAAAAAGAATAATAAAAACGGATTGTGAGCGATCTCACCGTCGACATTCTAGATCTCCATCCATTTATTAGGCTTATAAAATGCTGCACAATTTCTGACGCAATATCAGCATTTAAATCCCAAGGTGAAATAGCCGTGTCGTCCATTAGGAGGCTTAAGTTGTGCGTCCTTATTTTCGTACGATTTTTCAGTACGAAATATGACGTTTTCTCGACATCTAATCGACGTTTCCATTAGCCCCGACGTCTAATCGACGTTTCCATTAGTCCCGACGTCTAATCGTCGTTTCTATTGGTCCCGACGTCTAATCGACGTTTCCAGTAGTCCCGACGTCTAATCGTCTTTTCTATTGGTCCTGACGTCTAATCGACGTTTCCATTAGTCCCGACGTCTAATCGTCTTTTCTATTGGTCCCGACGTCTAATCGACGTTTCCATTAGTCCCGACGTCTAATCTTACCAACGGCACGAAATGAGACGCTCAGAATTAGGCTGACTTACTACGGCACTTCTAACGAAGGGCAACTATTTTACGCGACTGAATTGATTGCAATCAATGCATTTCTTAGTCTTTAAAATCAAATAATTCATGCAACCGGTATAATTAATTGAATCCTTTGCCTAAATACCATACAGATGAACTAAAAAGACTTAGATAATACAATATGAATAATCGAATCAGCAAAACGAAACTGTGCTAAATATGGGAAAACAATTTGTGGTAAAATATCTTCTACAATAGATAAAAATCACAATACACAATATTATTCTCATTTTGGTGTAAAGGAAAACTCGACGACATAAAAATACTTTTTCAGACTTCTGATACCGAAGTCGAGCATCCAACGTGTAACAAGTATGCTATGAAAAACAAATTCTCATGTGACAAGGAAAAATGCGCGGTATCTTCGCGAGAAGCGCGGCTGGGGTTGCCAAGCGTTCTCCCTTGCTACGAATAAGAGGGTGAGATCTGAAGTCAAAATAAAGCGATATTAAAGAAAAAATAAGAGACTCTGGCGCCGCTAGACTGATCGATCTCATGAGCTGTTCTGATACCAGGCCGGCGCCAGGAAATCAAAACAGATCGTACCAAGAATGCGTAAATGAGATCAACGTACACTCGATTATTCAAACATGGCGGAATGTACATTGATTTTTATAATATAAGCGATATTCTAGAGAAGAAGTTGGACTTCAAACCATCGTTGAAAGCCAATTTTAATAAGATTCGAAAAATTGGGTTAAATAGAATTAAGATCAGCAAGTTTTTTGTTATTTTTGATACGGAATCGCGGAATGTGCACTGGTTTAATAAAAGCTAAATTTAGAAAAGAAGTTGGACTTCAATCGTTGAAAGCCAATTTCAACACGATTCGAAAAAATTAGGCTAAATAAAATAAAGTTCTCCAATTTTTTCTTAGTTTGTCGTACATTTTTCGGACGTTATCATACTTGGCAAGATCATAAGTCAAATCCACAAGGCAATGGGCAAAGAAAATTTTGATTCCAATATCATTGATAATGAATTATAAAAAGCTTCAGATAATTGCACAACTACCGTTGGGTACTGTGTCTATTTTGTGCGTCGCCAGCAGAAGTACCTGAATGACACAGAAGTGTATTTTGGGAGTGTTACGTGGTGCAGCTTTATCCGGCCCTCATTTTAGGGAGCTCAGAATTCTTCCCACATGCGATAAGCTTCACGTTTACGGCGCTGTAAATGAACGCAGCCACACCCACTCACATTGTTGACATTAACTCACTGGGAAAATTTTGTAAATACTACGAAAGGAAAGGCACATTAGTGGTTGTTTGTGGAGGCTATCAAACCGTCAAGCGTCTGTCTCGCCTCATTTTTGTGCGTTTAATTAATAGAAGGTAAGTTTCAATTTAAGGGGGAGGAATTGCTAACAAATTTACTACTCTTAACAGTTAAATGTCTACACGATTTGGACTCTTTAGTTCTGAAACCTTGCGTTGATCCTCTAAACTTATTAAATTACTAAAAAATGAACCTATGAAAACTCTACGGATTACGAAGTGATACATTCAACTATTCAGTAGCCAATCTGTCCGTTTTGGGACCCGCGCTGTGACGGAAAGTAGCAACGTTCTTTTGTGCGTTCCTGAGTGAAGAATTTCGGATAAACTTACTACTTTCCACTTCACGTCTGATTCAGAAATTTATGAAAATGTCGATCTCATATAATAGGAATAAACAGAAATAGAGAGATATATTAGTTCAGTTTTTACCCAGTTTATCACTTTGTAAGTAATAGAATAATAACATGACACGATTTCGCATAATTATTTAAGAGTAGGTAATTCATTCCAGTGTGACAGCAGATCTAAGGCCGCACCGAATTTTTTCTTCGCTACCAGTTAAGCGAAGAATTTTGCGATGAAATTAATAAACAAATTTTTGCTCTCAGAAAGTCAATGCTTTCAATAATAAAGCAAGCAGTAAAAATAGCAAGATTGCAATTCATCTTGCTTTAATTAATACCTGAACTTGAAAAGTATACAATAATAAGATGATCACCCAAAACATAAATGTTGTCTGCTAACATCCAATTGTTGACATTAATTCCTGTTTATACAATGGGCAGAGAATTCATCAAACTTTTCAGTTCATAAGCTTGCATTAGTTGCATCGCTGACAAATGAGGTGGCACAGCAACGGCCTCGCGTCGAGCGAAGATGCATAGATAGTTTGCCAACTCTTTACAAATAATGTGTACAAGTCAATGATAATTCGATGTATTTGACTTGAATGATAACTTTAATTTTTTTTTGCTTTCTTCAAGGAAATATAACATCATATAGAAATTTCCGACCATAAGAATGATGAGAAGTGGGTTTATTAAAGCTTACACTCGACAAGAATTCCACGCCTGTCTTGGGGGGGGAGCATGATTAGGAGAGTGGAGGCGAGAAGGAGAAGGGGAGAGTGAGGTGAGAAGGGAAGAGTCAGGGGGAAAAAAGGAGAGCGAGGAGGAGAATGGGAAAGCGAGAATTCAAAACTGAGAGCGAGAGAGAAATGGAGAGCATGCAGGAGAATGTGAAAGTGAGAGAATGAGAGAGCGAGAGAATGAGAGTGCGAGAAGGAAAAATGGAGAGTGAAAGGGAAAGGAGGGAGAGAATGGGAGAAGAGGAGAACAAAATTAAAAGTGGTTGTGCGAGACGAAGAGTGGAAAATTGAAAAGGGATATTGAAAGAAAGAGATGGAGAAGCGAGAAAAAAGAGTGGTGGAATGGGAGGGCAGGGGGGGGTGAAGCTGCTTATTATGAGTGCAGAGGAATGTAAGGCCGCATATGCATTCGTGCGCGTCACTTTATATGTCATAACTTCGGCGCTCCCTCAGCTAATGGGAGCTGAATATTGGGAGTGAGCTCGTTTGAAATTGATGCTCATATGGACAGGAATAAGCGTAATAAACCGTGTACAGAGGTTTTTTATTATCAATTTAAAACATTGATAAAAACTAGAATATTATTTTGAGAATCGTAGGGATACTTTAATTATAATTAATGTGAAATATATTGCAATTATGTAAATATAACCCATGTTGCAATTTTGTAAATTTAATCAATGATTATGAGGGTGGTACATAATTAATGAATTATTATGAAGGTGGTGCATGATTAATCAATGATTATTGGTATGGTACATGATTAATTAATGATTATTAGGGTGGTAGATGATCAATCAACGATTATTAGGTTGTACATGATTAGCTCAAGA